GGCCAAATCGGTAAAATTGGCCCCTTTAGAACCATATATCAAATATTAAAACGAGTAATGGGGGGGGGGGGGCATTAATGTAGCAGGGCAAAACTATACAATGGCAACCATTTTCCATTATCCATGCCACGAACCATATGAAATTATAATAAGCCAAGTGTGTCACTGTATTTTATAATTCAATTGATTGTAGTTTACAAATTGAAAACAGGAGAGAAATTGTAACATTATAACCACATCGAAAACCATTAATATGAACTAAACGTAGTGCCCTGAAGATACTTAATGATTATCAGAATATCCACTCTCCTCGGAGAAAATTATGACTGAAATCAAAACACATCAAAGAACAACGATCAGGTGGGTAGTATAATTGACTAAATGGTGTATACTTACCAATACACGGTGTACAACCAAAACGATGTTACAACTGGCAAACTATAAACCATACAGAGAAGTGTCCTTGAGTAAAAAATAGTGGAATGAAATGACCACCCATCCTACAATTTTGGAGAAAATTGGAAAAAGAAGTATACTTTGTTTCCTATGTACCGTGGCAAATGAACTGAATGGAACCCTCCGAAGTAGTAGCAGCGTTCTCATTTTACACCGTGAAAGAAAACTCATCACCCTCTGAGAGAAGCCGACTTTACATCCTCTTGATGAATATCTCTTTTGTCAGGAAACGAGCAAATGTCCTCATTTGTACATTACACTGGTTTAATTAGTGTTAGAAATTAGAGACTAGCTAAGACGTGTTTATTGCTCTTTAACAGTGCACTCCACTAGAATTTTACTTAACTTCCGACCCCCACGCATCATTCTATGGGTAATTCTTGACGTTCGCGTATTTAGTATAATTTAGATAGAGTTAAATGCGTAATGCGAAACAATACGATCAAGGCTTAACTGATGAAATCTCATTGATACCTAAAGTGTGATATGCACGTTTTATAGGCTATAACTTATCCCTTTGTCTTTAATTTCATTTCATAACGGACCGTTTTTGAATGGTGTTCAACTTGCAATTGTTGATGGATATATACAAACATTTAATGCTATTTGTGAAAACATATGGGCATGGACCTGAAAGTCCGTGATATGGGGTACACACGCAAGTATTCTCCTTCTAAGATTGCAATACAACAGAATCAACAGTAGTTTATTTTAAAGAATATACAGCTGTTACAAATAGGAGTGCATCCTTTTCTATTATTGGAATGGGTTTATCTGAAGATGATTTAGAAATGAATCGGAAATTCTGAAAATATCATATTTGATGTTTTTAACACTTATTAACATAGGTTTTTCAAAAATGTACACTTGGCAAGCAAAAGACGATTTCTCAATGTTTACACCTAGACTGTCACATGCAGTGCACTGAAGTTGAACTAATTATAAACAATTCGCTATTGATCTATTGACCCAAATGGGTCTTGGGAACGTCGGTCCTTTCCCGGGGAAAATTGCCGGTGTGACAGAAATGATGGTCCCCCAGGGATTATGGTCCCCTTTCTTAACGGCCCTTACTGGCCCTGATTGCGTATAAGATAATGAGGGAAAGAGTTGTATTTAGGTCACCATATAAATCAATGGAGAGTAGGACCATAATTTGATAGGACCTCCTACCCTTTTACACCGGTCGTTAATGCATTATTGACCGGCAATATTGCCCGCTACTATGACGTCACATACTGCTCAGGTCGATAGAGTAAAATAAATGCATTCTAAACTCGCACTAATACCCATAGAGATCCATCGAAAAGATCATGAAAACTAAAAATGTTTGAAAATTTCAAGAATGAAAGATAAGGGTTTCTTTTTTTTGTGGTAAAGATGAATGGGTCACTTAAAAAAAGTTCGGAGTATCGGCCAAATCGGTAAAATTGGCCCCTTTAGAACCATATATCAAATATTAAAACGAGTAATGGGGGGGGGGGGCATTAATGTAGCAGGGCAAAACTATACAATGGCAACCATTTTCCATTATCCATGCCACGAACCATATGAAATTATAATAAGCCAAGTGTGTCACTGTATTTTATAATTCAATTGATTGTAGTTTACAAATTGAAAACAGGAGAGAAATTGTAACATTATAACCACATCGAAAACCATTAATATGAACTAAACGTAGTGCCCTGAAGATACTTAATGATTATCAGAATATCCACTCTCCTCGGAGAAAATTATGACTGAAATCAAAACACATCAAAGAACAACGATCAGGTGGGTAGTATAATTGACTAAATGGTGTATACTTACCAATACACGGTGTACAACCAAAACGATGTTACAACTGGCAAACTATAAACCATACAGAGAAGTGTCCTTGAGTAAAAAATAGTGGAATGAAATGACCACCCATCCTACAATTTTGGAGAAAATTGGAAAAAGAAGTATACTTTGTTTCCTATGTACCGTGGCAAATGAACTGAATGGAACCCTCCGAAGTAGTAGCAGCGTTCTCATTTTACACCGTGAAAGAAAACTCATCACCCTCTGAGAGAAGCCGTCTTTACATCCTCTTGATGAATATCTCTTTTGTCAGGAAACGAGCAAATGTCCTCATTTGTACATTACACTGGTTTAATTAGTGTTAGAAATTAGAGACTAGCTAAGACGTGTTTATTGCTCTTTAACAGTGCACTCGACTAGAATTTTACTTAACTTCCGACCCCCACGCATCATTCTATGGGTAATTCTTGACGTTCGCGTATTTAGTATAATTTAGATAGAGTTAAATGCGTAATGCGAAACAATACGATCAAGGCTTAACTGATGAAATCTCATTGATACCTAAAGTGTGATATGCACGTTTTATAGGCTATAACTTATCCCTTTGTCTTTAATTTCATTTCATAACGGACCGTTTTTGAATGGTGTTCAACTTGCAATTGTTGATGGATATATACAAACATTTAATGCTATTTGTGAAAACATATGGGCATGGACCTGAACGTCCGTGATATGGGGTACACACGCAAGTATTCTCCTTCTAAGATTGCAATACAACAGAATCAACAGTAGTTTATTTTAAAGAATATACAGCTGTTACAAATAGGAGTGCATCCTTTTCTATTATTGGAATGGGTTTATCTGAAGATGATTTAGAAATGAATCGGAAATTCTGAAAATATCATATTTGATGTTTTTAACACTTATTAACATAGGTTTTTCAAAAATGTACACTTGGCAAGCAAAAGACGATTTCTCAATGTTTACACCTAGACTGTCACATGCAGTGCACTGAAGTTGAACTAATTATAAACAATTCGCTATTGATCTATTGACCCAAATGGGTCTTGGGAACGTCGGTCCTTTCCCGGGGAAAATTGCCGGTGTGACAGAAATGATGGTCCCCCAGGGATTATGGTCCCCTTTCTTAACGGCCCTTACTGGCCCTGATTGCGTATAAGATAATGAGGGAAAGAGTTGTATTTAGGTCACCATATAAATCAATGGAGAGTAGGACCATAATTTGATAGGACCTCCTACCCTTTTACACTGGTCGTTAATGCATTATTGACCGGCAATATTGCCCGCTACTATGACGTCACATACTGCTCAGGTCGATAGAGTAAAATAAATGCATTCTAAACTCGCACTAATACCCATAGAACAGGTCCTTTAAGGCAAGGGCGAACGTAATACCCGGAACGTTCGGCAATTGACTTTTTTTTTACCGCATCAGATTTGAATTAGCCAATTAAACATATAGACTAATAGGAGTGTGAGAACTTAAAATATTATCTGACGATGTGTCTTACCCCCTTTGGACACAAAGTCCAGAGCTGAATATGTCAGTACATGTTGATGATTGGTAAGTAAAAACAATCCATCCTTATAACGTAACATATTTTCTATTGTTTAGTAAATTTCGGTCACGAAACGTTCAGAAACAACAGTTAAAACGAAGATTGTCCTTGTCAGTTTTGATTGTTCGACCGGGAAACCAATGGGGTTTTCTCATTTGCATAATCACGCGATGCATAGACTGTGATGGGGGATTCCCGAAGCAGGGTGACACACATTAGCAGAAAACACAATCGCCACTTGAATTACATTTCCCTGTTTATTCTGTCCCTATCAATCCTTTTTACATGTTACTTGTTACATTAAGTTAATCAATTATGTAGCTCATCATGTAAATAGATTCCAATAAAATAACCGCAAAACGGTACAGAAAAAGGTACCTAGGTCTGAGAAAACTGACCCCTCTATACACCATTGTCTCAAGGAGGATTGGCTCCCAGAATCGAAGTCGATATTTTCCAACAATGAAAACGCCGAGATGTCGTTATTTTCTGAAATTATAACCGATTATAAATTCAAAATAAACAGTTCAAAAGATTCGAACCAATATCTCGATCATTTCCTGTGAGTTTTAGAATTTTTCGTTAGGAAATAAGACCAAAATTCACGATTCAAATGTTGAAGTGAACAAAATGGCGGCTGTTGGAATTCAAATTTTGTAGCACGACATGCCCATATATGGGACAGAATATCGATGTTGCACTCTGGGAGCCAATCCTCCTTGCCATTGTCTAATGAAGACCAAACAAAGTCCCGGATGTCGTGCCGTTTCTCGTTTCGTTTGGTACACAACTAAGCCCCGGGTATCAAATAAGCCCTTGATTAAGGTGGTAATAATGTCTATTCTCCAGCTGGATGGCGTATTAGTCCTGACATCTTTTGACGTGCAAACTGCAGAATCCGCAATAAATCTAGCTTTAGATTGATCTAAAAGCAAAAGTCAGTAACTTGTGCTACCCTTTAATTAATGTTTGGACAAAAGCTATGTTTTCTTGTACCCTTTGCATTCGTTTGACTTCACTTCTTAAAAGAGAGCTTCGTCTTCGTCTGTAGTTTAACTAGACTCTGCACGCAGGGTAGTTTTCTTGAAATAGACGTAGCATGCCTAACGAGAAAGCAAATGATAGCTGAAACAGATGTAAAATGTCTAAAATTAAATAGATTTTTTGTTGGTGTTTTTTCAGTCCTGGGGTTCCAGGTAAGCGGAAAGCGCGTAAATCAACACACACCATTGATATCAAATTGGACGATGACGCTGAAGGTGCAATGGATGACGCTTCTGAAAATTGGACAGATTATGATATCAGAGATACAAAAGAAGTGTCTGTAACATCTGAGGATCGTGAGCTCTCCCCGCTTACGATGTTACTATTGCGCAAACTGCTTGGGTCATCAAGAAGGTGATGTGTTTAGGGTGACACCTGGGATTCGTCATTGAGCGAAATGTGCACCAGCGCCCCGGAGGTAGTACTGTTTTGTACAATAGGTTATTGGATTGCACGTGATGCACGTGAGCAGTTTTGTACAATAGATTATTGGATTGCACGTGATCAGTGTGTAAAAGGTATTCCATTCATTGGAGATTCTATTGAGAGTCATCGAATTTACAGAGGGCTTACTTTGTGCATTATGCATTGGACGTCCTTGTATTTTATTCTTGAGTTATGCAGATTAAACCAAAGTTTTTCTGACCCATAATTGTGGATGAACATGACTGTTTCAGTTTGATCTTATAAAATTAACTCAACGCCAAAGATTAAGAAGATGCTACTTTCTTTAGATGATTGGTGAAACCTGAACTTGTTACAATATGACAGTATTTGAAACAACATATTGATTGTTATTTGTATATAATAATCCAGACAATGCATGTATTGTCACTTTCTGACCAATCAGAGGTCAGTCTGGAATAAAATTGGAGTAAATTGTTAAATAATCCTTGTTTGTGAAATTGAAAGTGCAGTGGCAGGTATTTCTTCTATTTGTGACTCTGCTTTTCAACAACCTACTACTGTTAGTCTTGCTTCGCTGGTCTCCCCCCCCTTATTTGCTTCACCACCAGAGAGCTGTGTAGTGGGGGAGGGTAAAAAGGCTTGTACCGAGACTATACCTAAAAGAAGTAAAATGAGCACAGGCAGAGCACAATCAAATATCGGAACCTCGAAAGGTACGATTTTACTTTTTTTTGTTCAATTCATGAGTTGTAAGCAGAATTCCCACAACATTTTTATCACAAACGGGTGTCAGTTTCATATGTTGGAGAAAATCTACACGTTTGTGAACAAATAGTTCAGAAGACAGAATCGTCGTTTTGATATTTCATTGGAGAGGTTAAGCTTTGCATATATAATCGAAACTGAACCTGTACGTATCACTCGACCATATACAAATTCATGTAGCCTTCTCATATACACTGGCATGTAGCGGCCCTGATATCGATAAATTCTACACGCAATATAACCCGATTTTAGATGCTTGGTTAAAACTTTACACGAAAAAGCCTCGATATCCGGGCATTTACTCTTACACTGAACTGAAAATAGCATCGTCTAAACGTGTATGTCTTGGCTTCCGGGTGAGTTTATCAACATTTATACTCAATTGAAAGAGCAGTCGTGCTTATATCGTGTACCAGTTTGATTGTTTTATATGTGTGTGTATTTATAATATGATAGCCTAGTAATACCGTGTCGTTAGAACAAGTGCTAGATATCGAACTGATGACCTGAAATTAGATTATTGGACTGATCGCGCATCTGATATTAGATGATTAATTTGCATTGAATCTGATATTAGCTTGCAACCCAATACCACAGTAAATACCATGACTTTACATTAGAATGATAACACGGCCTCATATTCTAATTTATTATACGTCCATTGCAGGCCAAAAATGTTTCAATGTGGATATTGTAATGCACACGAGAATACATTCGATTCGTATATATTGATCATACATCAATTGAACATGGAGATTTTCCTGTACACTTTTCCCAAATATGTGGAATAGACTAGATGCGAGTAGAAATTATTTTGATTTATCCTATGCCAAGTAGGGTTTTAGGGAGATAAGTTGGTAAGATATATCCCGTATCCTGATTTTGAGGTTTCCATATCAAGAACCTCCATATCTCCCGTCATATCTCCCGCTTCGGTGCATATCTTCCCGCTTCGGGGCGTATCTTCCCGCTTCCAAAAAAAGTGGAAATGCAATAAAATGACTTTGCATATGAATGATTTGTTTATTTTTTACACCTTGTACTACTGAAAACTCTACTTGGTATAGGATAAAGCAGTTATGTACGGTCGGTTTGGATATTGGGTTCATCCCTCGTGAGATATGCACATCTACTTTCTGTCCCTACGGTCCCTCAGGTAGATATGCATATCTCCCTCTGGAAAAACCCCATATCCAAAACCCCCCAGTACATAACCCTTATTTATCCCATGGTTACAAGGATATAGATCGAATATCACGTGAAGATATAATTGATACGTGGATGAAGATCATATTTTAGCAAACAATTCCCAAATCATCGAATATCACTTTTGAAACCATCGAATGTCACTTTTTGAAAGGTGATATTCGATGGTTTCAAAAGTGATATTCGATGGTTTCAAAAGTGATATTCGATGGTTTTGATTTTTTCAATTTTTTTATTAATTCAGCAAAACGATTGTTTATATATTTATTATATATTTTTATTTTTTGGGATCTTGTTTTTACGGCGTTCGCATTAAATACAAACCACTCTGTTACGTCACGTATATGACGTTCGTTGAATTATCGCAATCAAAATGTCAGACCAAATGGAATTTCCATTGCAATTTATCTGACTATTCAATGTTCGCTGGATAATAATTCCCAATGGGATAAACGGACAATCCTATGTTTTTTTCAAAAATATCACTTATATCCACTCATGGATATCAGTATCTTCACTCATTCGCTGCGCTCACTGGCGAAGATATCAATATCCACTCATGGATATAAGTGATATTTTTTCAGAGCCATAGGATATTCCTATATTATTCCATAGTTAGCATGATATCCATAGGATAACATGTCAAAATAAAAACGGTATTTTTGAAATCAGTGGTAAAATATGATATTTTTGGCAAATTTTCACTTAACCATAGCAAACGGTGTTTTAGGGGGGGGGGGCTTTTAGCCATGACATACGGCGCCGTATGCCATGGTTTATGGATTTTTGCTACTTCAGACTCAAAACGAGGCTAAGTGTCAATATCGCCGTATCGTTTGGAAAATTCGTTTTAAATCACTTAATTCCCGACGATTCTGATGATGACTTTAACTATGGAATATAAAGAACATCCTATGATTTACTCGTGATATGATTTTAATCCACTTATGGATGTTGATATCTGCACTCTCTTGCTACGCTCACTCGTGCAGATATCATATCCATTCGTGGATAAAAATCATATCACTCATAAATCATAGGATATCCTCTATTTAAGATGTGATATTCGATAGTTTAAAAGTGATATTCGATGGTTTGTAAATTGTTTGCTAAAATATGATATCTTAATCCACATATCAAATATATCATCATGTGATATTCGATCTATATCCTCCTTGCAACCATGGGATAAAGCTTTACGCCCCGCTCCAAGCGGGCAGATATAGTATATCTGCCCGCTACGTCATAATCGCCGCTTGCATGTTTGTTTATAATTTGTAACGTTCGCGGAATGACTGTAAACGGCAATGGAGAAAACACAGACAATCAGGGTCTGTTTGATAGTTAAAAAAGGGGAAAGAGCATCCACTTAATCAATAAAAAATTCGAGAAAATAAATATGGGAATATTTGAGAGAACATGAAAATCCGCCCACGGCCAAGAAAACAAAACTGGACATGAATATTCTAAAATGTTTCCACGATTTAACAATGTGAACCAGATGACCAAGATTGGTATGGGATAAACATATTATCCTATAGTCGCGGTTCAGGATATTGGGATTATCCCTTGGCCAATATATAGGGGTTATGCAATTGGAGGTTTTGGATACAGGGAATATCCCGAGGGATATACAATATATCTTCCCGAGGGACCGAAGGGACCAAGGGAAGATGAATTATATATCCCTCGGGATATTCCCTGTATCCAAAACCTCCAAGTGCATAACTGTTGTATATAGTTTAGCATGATATGTACTTCTTTCTGTAACTGGAATACGATTCTAATATACAAGCAGCACATACGTATTCCCGGGGAACCATAAATATTTTGTGTAGGGTGTGGACATTTTTCTTTTCATTTCTCTAAAATCAGATTATTCTCATAAAATTCATACAAAGTTGGGCCTAAGCCTCTATTTTCGTATTCTGCATGTTAAGATATTTATAATGTAAAACCTAAGAGATAAATTCAATGTCTTCAGTTGAGAATAAGTATAAGGTAAATGTGTGAATTCTGCTTGTTGTTGCACTATTTTTATAATAAACAAGGTTCGATACGCAACACTGAATAGACTGCAGTCATAGCTTAGTTGTAAAGAAAACAAAAGAAGTGGGGCGTGATCATGCTTGAATACGATTTTAAATATATCGCCCTTTACATTTGTTGAAATCGGCATGTATTAATTTCAACAGGTGATCGGTGTACAAGGGCATATATTTGAGTTATTGGTTTAACGATAAGTATGACCTATGAGTGGGTAATGTTTTACAAATGCATGAAACAAATACTCCAATGGCCTAATCTCAATTTTCCTGCATAAACTATTACATTGAAATGATGGTCATTTGCTCTCTAACTTCCGCACCGCATACGTTACTTCGTAACAATTCAATAAGCCAAGACAGGACCGCTATAATCGCTACATGCCAGTGATATAAATAGCCGTTCAAATCCAGTGTTTGTTTAGACTACACCATAGCGTGTAATGATTCTATAGTATGTCATTGATGCGGTTTTATAGCTGGTTTTCTAATACATATTTTAAACGAGCTCGTTTCGTAAGATTTTTGGCGCTAAATCATGCATGACATACATCATCGTGTTCAGAAAGAATTCAACTGTGCATCGAAATCAAAATTGACAGCATAGTGTTCAATAGACACGAGTAAAATGGTTCCCGTTGACCCAACGTCAAATATTCAAATCTCCCGTTCTAAACCCGAAACTCTGAAGCTGAAAGAGTATCTGAAGTAGACTAAGCGCGCATAAAACTATGAGCGCTCGATACATTCCTTGTTGTGAAAAACATCGTTAGCTTAACCTCTCCATTATTGTTACGTTTAAACGGAACGGGTTAAAAATGCAGATCTTAACCGATTTTGAAGTTCCGTTTACGCAACAAAAGTGATGAATTATATGGACGATATGGGTAAAACATAAGGATACAAATCGACCTCCTTCTTGGTAAAAATGATGTTAATAAAAATTCCTCATCCATTTTGTTATAAAAACGTAATTGTCAACCAGGTGGAGACGTCGACCAGTGATGGTGCTTATGTTTTTGCCGAAAAGACTGGGATGATTTGATATCTCGAGAAATCAACGAAAAAGAAAAATCGAGTTCAGTACCAGGTACCGGCGATTTAGTAGACATTACATCAATTGTGAGAATCTTACGTAAAACCCCTTTGAAATGGGACGTGCAAAAGTGGGTTAATTAATATGAGTAATCGAGAGGAATCTCACATTATAGTTGATATTATTTCTGTTTAGATAGATGTGTCGCCACCGGTCCATTGTGTTCTCTTTCAAGATCTCAAGGTCATGGATTCGTCTCGTACGAGGTCTTTTTAACATTTAACTTATCTTTCGTGTATTTTACTCGGAAAACGTTAAATCTCAAATATATTTCAATATCAGTGTCGAGTAGGACGATCCTAGCATGAAAAAAGCATCCCAGGACGAATACTGTGGTAATTTGAGCGGACGTGGGGTCGTTGGATCGGGACACTGGTGCTCAAACAAAAATATAATTAAGTCAATGGACTTGAAGAAATGGATTTGAATCACTCGTTGAGTCATTGGTCTTGTCCCTTACTCATCCAGCATGGGAACAGGTGCGAGTGGGTAGTTACCAGTTTCACCATCATGTGGCTAATTCCGGGTAGATAACATGGCATGGTATTAGAAAGGAGCACGTAGTTTATCGCAAACAATTTCAAACGATTCTAACTTGAATTATGAATATTTTCTGATCATGAACATGGGTGAATCTCTAAGATCCATTCATTATCTCCAAGAAAAGTATACATAATGATAATTTAGTTAATCGGACCTAAGTGATATTGAAGGGGCAATGGAACAATCAACATCAACATTGCTTCTGCTCAGCGGTGCCATCTTTTTGCACCGTTTTCTATCAACCGAACATCGAGAGACTACTCTTAATACTTACTTGGCATCGATGTATAATCAAATCCCGGTCCACATGACATTGAAAATCTTAAGATACTATTTTGCAACATTAACAGCATCAAATCTCATTATGGTGCTAGATTGTGTGCCTTCAAAGATAAAATAGTTACGGATGGATATCATATTGCTGCTCTTTGCGAGGTTGGATATATTACAGCTGATGAGCTTGTTAGGCAAGATTTTAAGATAGGCGGTTTTCACGATCCGATTTATAGAAGCCATAATAGAGGCCTTATGTTATATATCTCCAATGATATTGCATTTGGCATACTGGAAGACCACATGAAAGAATGAGAATCCATCTGGTTAAAACTGAAAATTAAGCATTCCTCTTTTGCATACGGGCTCTTTTACAGATCTCCTTCTCAGTCAACTGAACAAATTAAGTCATTTTTCTCCACTTCGCTACAACAGTTTCAAATATTAAACATAAGATTAAACCGAAAATGACTATCATAAGTGGTGACTTTAACGCGAGGAATCCAGCTTGGTGGGTAAATGACGCTCAAACCCCAGCCGGCACCGAACTACAAAATTGTCTGCTATCGTCTTACCTTACCCAGTTAATTGATGAACCGACTAGAATAACGACCAGAAGTAGCACTTGAATTGACCTATATCTTTTAAAATCTTCCTTGGTGTAATAAAAGACCCTCCGCATTATCGAAAAGTCTGGGACCATAATAAAGCACAAAGCGACTCTATCTGTCAAGATATTAGATCCGAAAATTTTGATGAACTAATCGAAAACACAAATGACATTGATTCTCTAACAAGCACAAATTCGTGGTTTAATAAATAAACGTAACAATTGCAAGTTTTTCAGAAAATTTAGTAAAGATAATAACCAAGACCACTACGTGAATACCTGTGACACTTGTGAAAAATGCACAGGTATTCACCTCAATATAATCATGGTCTTTCAAGAGAGCCAATGATATAATTAAATATTTGTATAGTATTAGACAGAAAATATTTTCTTTTACTAGACATATTGTCAGTTGTATAATTACTACTAAAAAGATTGTATGAAAATTGATCCACTATTAGGAGGGTTTAGGAGGGTTTGTCTGCCGTGGTTCGCCATGTTATCCAATCAGAATTAGCCATATGGTGGTGAAACTGCTAACTTCCTACTCGCATCACTGATTATCATCGCTAAATGAAATAACTCCAAGGATGATTTCCGGATGTCGCCCCTTCCTCTGAACCAACATTTGAAATACGTTTAAAGTCATCATAAATTATTAAATACCTCGATTGCCACAATTTAAATTATATTTTTCTACAATAGGTGTATTTAATAATTTATGATGACGTTAAAACAACATATTCCAAAGTGCAAAATAAATGCAAAATAAAAACCTTTCTTCTGTTTATTCACATACTATTGATTTAAGGTGGTCAATTGTTTACACGTACTTTACAAAACAAGGATGCGAAAAACAACAATAAATTAATAACACTTCATAGAAAAACTGCAGAATCACTAGTATATTGATGAGTCAGGGCAGTAATTGTAGGGCTCGCTCCTGAACACACAAATGCACACAAAGTTACATTGTTGAATAAACGTTAAATACGCATACATTGTAACTCGACAAACATTCTTTCGAAGCAGCACCTTACAATCGAGCATTTTACTAACACCGGACGTAGCATTGATAGCCTGGTAAGTTATGCTATTTTATAATTTATAATACATTGATATAGCCAACAGCATTACTTTTGCAATTTTCGGGGAAAATGTCGTATCAAACCCATGAATGGTGGAGGCGACACCAAACAAATTTGCACTTAGCATAATTCTTGAAGTTCTTGACATTGATGTTGGCAATAAACCTAATGTTGTTTAAGGTTAGGACGTTGCGTTAGCATGTGCGTGTTCATATTATGATTGGATATCACTATGGGTATCACTTAAAGAGTATAAGAGTATAAGAGAGTTCAATCAGAATCATCAATCACTCATTTTATAATAGTTATATAAAGACAAGTTGTTTTTGTACCATAATATTGTTTGGAGATCGACCTTCAAAACACTGAATCAATCGAATATTGGACTATTTTGAAACCCTATATCTACTTGTATTATTTACTTGGCCCCTGTTCACCGTGTTTACTTTTGGATTTTAGTAGTCACTATAGAGAACTGAGCACACATTTGCAGACCGATCATTCATTATGACATCATTGGTCCGTGATGCCCAAGCATTGATGCTGAATTTTATGTGTAAACAGATGGAGATGTCTCAAACCCAATAGTATGATCAATACCTAATTTTTGACACCAAGAAACAACATAACAAACAATTTTAACTATTATATTTGATTTATTTTGTTTTAGAAACTACTGTTCGTGTCGAATAGTGAAATAAGAAGTCGAAATACCTTGGATGGACATTGATATCTTAAAGCTGAAAACGGTTCGCAGGTACGGTGGCTAAAGCTAAGTTCACACCAACGGCGCTTTGCTGACGGTTTAAAGAGACGTGCAAAGCGGATTTGCACGCGTTGGTGTAAGGCTAAGTTCACAACAACGGCGCTTTGACAGCGCTTTGCACGCTGCATTAAAGCGCCATCAAAGCGCCGTTGGTGTGAACTTAGCTTAAAGTCACCTTGAAGAAGAATAGGTCGAATTAATCGGAGGTTAGCGCCTTGTTTATGGATTCGGTGAGAAGTTTATCAAAGCGAAGTTCACACCAACGACGCTTTGATAGCGCTTTAAAAGCGGCTTTGCACGCCGCATTAAAGCGCCATCAAAGCGCCGTTGGTGTGAACTTAGCTTTAAAGATATCTCGGCAACAACTGCCAGTTGAGTCTTAGGAGATCTGTAGCCTGAACCTATCAATTTTTTTTATGCTGTGTAGTTTGTATTTCTACCCAGCAAATTTCATTTTCCGTGTTTACATCACTTTGAATTTTATAGGTTTATTTTCTCGTATATATATCAAAATACCCCTGCCGTGGTTTGGAACCACTGGGTAAATATTTTCAATTTAACTTCAAAATGACACGTTTAACCATCAGAGTGTAAACAAATCTAAACAATAGACTTCAAGGTTTTAATGAAATCTATAAATAATACAATAGAATATAAAGGCCTAGATCGTATTTTCCAATATTTGGTGTCAGGAATTAGGGCTTTGATGTCAATGGATGACCTCAAAAATCTTTTTAAGATTCGGACTTTAGTTTCGATAAATAGAAGGAAAGGGTAAATACTAAATACGTATCTAATAGTTTTCACGTTTCTCACGAACTGATGACATTCGAGGTGAATGTAATTTATTTGGTAATTAGATTACGTAAAGGGGTTAGAAGAGGTAATACCTTATATTAAAGGAATATTCCTTGCCAAACCATCTCTCTCCTCATATGGTAGCTATAACCATATATATGCTTGCCATGTTTAGCAAAACACGCAAAAATGTTTTGATATGGTCAAATTTGATCACTTAGAAATGTGATGCTCAATTCCAGTAAGCTGCCATCTTTTAAAATTTCACACAGGAAGTGATGTCATCGACTCTCAACTTTGCATATAGCATTAGGTGAGGAGCTATTAAGAATTACAAAACCAGCTAAATATTCTTTTTCAACTTTGTATCTTATTTAATCCTTCTGAAAATCTCTTCTTTTATTCTAAGTTGACAAGCCCTGAAAATATTTTTGCACAGAAAGTAATGGTCACTTGTCTAGAAGTGATTTTGTGCTACTTTCCTATACTGTTATGGGCAAGGTTATAGAAGTTGAGAGTTGATGACATCACTTCCTGCAAGAAATCTTAAAAGATGGCAGCTCACTGGAAATAAGCACTAGATTTTTAAATGATCAATATTGACCATATTAAAACATTTTCCCATGTTTTGCTAAATATGGAAACTATATATATGATTATAGCTACCATATCAAGAGAGAAAGAGTCTGGCAAGGAATATTCCTTTAAAGCAATTCCAATGTGTCGTTTAAAAAGTCTATAATTAAAAACATCGTGGATATGTATTTTTTAAACACTAATTATTTATCCTGACCTAATGTTTTTATTTCAGAAACACATATCTAAGCAAAACCATTACATAGAAGACAACGATGAATCAAGCATGGCTTGCCTTGCTACTTATACTGGGCCACGTACATATGGACAATGCAGGTAAACACTGATTACTACGAATCATATTAAAACAATAAAACTAAACAAATAAAAAAAACAATAATCGCAATTTTTAAGGCAATTTATGTCTTCGATAGATCTTTTAGAGTATTGAGATGTGGTAAGGTAGAAATAGGGATTGTACTAAGAGAATATTAAACTTCATGCAAAAGTAACCAAATTACTGACACATTTCAGGTGATGTAGAGGAGGCTACATGTCAGGTGAGTAGAAGTTTAACAAATTATTAAAGGCTTTATAATTATAAAAAATATCCGCACTTGTAGTACATCAGAAATCAGGGATATTGTACAGATCAATTATATCTAATATTATCTTTTAAAATGTCATGTCAAAATAATGAAAGCACATAGTTATTATGAATAATAGAAAATAATGACTGTTTCTTTGTTGTTGAAATGTATATTCAAGTAAAGATGATATTCCATTACCGCTAATTTTGTGAAAACATCGCATCGGTTTACATGTTAGTCCTCTTGCTTGCAGGATATTTCGAATCAAGCATATGGCATTAATTTGTCAATTGCTGAGAAATATTGGGGTGGATGAAGGGAGGGGGGGGGGGGGTTGTCATAAAGCGCACGAGCTGCACATATCGAGATATTGGTGTAATTTGATTATTGAAATAGTGTGATGTATCAATGCAGAATCTAAAATGGATGTCTTACAACTTATACAAATGATAAACTGATCTATAAGGTCAGGGGTACAAATGTTAAAGATGCTACCGAATGCAACCTCTGCGAAATAGTAATTTATCATAAATACGATCTAGTCATGAAACAAACAAAAGTTCTTTAAAGTTTGACATTTGGTTCAATCAAATGCATTATTGATCACCAGCGAAAATATATTGTTCTTAATTTGAGTTAATCGATGAGTACCAATTATTTTGCCTTGATCATTTTGCCTTTTGTATTTTTCGAATCGTTAATGCATTCGTTTACCTTGAAAGCACAAGCAACAGAACATCATATTTAAAACTAGACTAATACGAACTTTTACGAAATGTTTATAATGAATCAAATCGCACTGAATAGTTCATATTTGGTATTTAGAAAGGATACATAAACACGTGGTCCAACTATATGCGGAAAAACCGAGGAATTTTAGACCTACAAGATGTATTTTGGGTCTCATGCTGCACCGTTTTTCTTCAAATTTGTTCCATACAAAGCAAAACAAAAATGACTTTCTGTTGGTACATTATTACATAATACAGAGTCCCTCCTTTTAGCGGTGTTTGGGTTCCCAGCTGTCAGAAGCGCCGAGGAAGCGCATCTCACAGCTTCTATTACGTAAAACTTGAATTTAGGGGGATAAATGTTACGCCGTGATGTATGTAACAGGTGTGTATCAGTTTCAATGGATTTGAAGAAAATTTCAAAATTTCGTAAAGATGCTCTTTAGAATAACGTGTATGGGAGCTGAAAGGTGTTACGATAAATATTTAGGGGACATCCTGCATTTATTAAGATATGGTTTATATTTACATTGTATTCAAAACGGACCTCGGGTAAGTTCCTCCATTGTCTCAGATTATGTACTTTGATACTGATAAGTCCTAACTCTATTTTGATTTTGAATAACCACTTCAAGTTGTTTTCTATTCGTAGACGAAAGTGTGTCCACGAGGGGAGTTTTGTGAGATGCGAGTTGCTCCATGTTTTAACCCACCCTGTCCAGTCCTCCCTAGATGTGTAGACCTATGTGAGGTATGCAGTAATAAGATGAATTAACCATTTACTACCAGCTTTGAAATCATGCTGAAGTTTCATTTTTAATTATTTAGAGTATAGAAGAAATCTCTTCAAATTTACATGGATATTTATATTTGATTAAACATTTTGTCATTAATCGATCGAGTGTATAACATCCTCTTAAACACGATAGAACATTGGTCTTAAATAGTAGGACACCAAATTACTGAAACAGGTTATTTGTAATCTTAATCAACTTCATAGGATGCCTGTAAGAAGGGGCAGAAATGTCACTTAAAGAAGGTAGTGTGTATGACATCACCATGTAACCCTATACCTGTTTGCTGTAACGCTGTCATGTGCGCCCTCTATTGTAAGAATGGCTTCCAGAAAGATGACAATGGATGTGATATTTGCAAATGTAACCCACCAAAGGAGACGTGTGAGGTATTCCTTGTACAGTTAGTAATAAATAATCAGTACAAAACATAAAAAACATACTACGAGTATTCTAATTAATAAAGGCCTCATATAAGGTTTAAACCCATTGGCTTGTATTGTAGTCTTGTCCAATGTTATCAAATGTGATATGTAATTCTCTTTTTAATTTAAAAGAGTGTTCTGAAAATCGTTATTTAAGATTAAATTTCAGCATTCATAGCATTCATCCGCATCTGTTTTGTCGAAAATTAAGAAAATTGATTAATGGATAAGCGAGAAATGAACCCATCGATGCATGAAAGTGTTCAGAGAAAAATGCATTTCAAAACTTGAGTCATAGAAACCAATGGTACAATGTAATTTAAAACATAATACGAGGGGTGATCCAAAAGTCTTGGACGACTCGCTCTAACTTTGCTATTTTTTAATGAAACCTTTCAAATAATGAAGATCAACATTTTGTCTAAGTTGATTTATTCTAGTTTTTTTCGAGAATATAATATTGTGACCCAGCCACCTGGAGCTGTATTCAAAACACACAAGTCACGTTACAACTGTTAATATGGCAAATATTTAAGGGTGTTTTCAATGAATGCCTTTCATTAATGGGTAAAGTGGCACAAAAATATGTTCAAATTCATGGAAAGTATGTTGAAAAGTAAATGTTGTCCTATCAGAATAATAATGTCATAACTCACATTTTTCGTGAAACTGAGAAATCAATTTTTGAAAGTTTAGACATCTGTAACTGTTATAGTATCCATCTGTCATGTATGAAATCTTTACATTGTTTTTGTCATCAATTGTGTAGATACAACAAAGATTTCATGAATTTCAAGATTTTGTAAAACAGTTTTTGAGCATATTGAAAATGGAAAAAGAACAATTTAATTTCCAATTTTTCGTAACATCGAATGATTAAAGACGGGGTACCCATTTCGCTATGTATTTTCAATGGACACAAACTATATTCATTTTAGAAAAATAAATTCAAATCCAAGTTTAAAATTGTAATATCATATATATTACTAATATGATTATTCCTGGTGACATGATGTAAATTTAAACAATTTGATTGGTTAAACATGGTGCATAAGACATAGAAGTTAAATTCGATTTTTGAAATTTTCATGGAGTTTGGACAATTTGACACTGAAAAGCTGGCTATTGAGGGAATCAATAAGGGAAGGAAATCGCACAGGAAGAAAGAATATGATTTGTACAGGGGGAACTCTGTCAAAATCTCAATTTTTAAAAAAATGTGAGTTGGGACATTATCATTCTGATAGGACGTTGTGAGAAGAAGATGAATGAAGTCAGATTGCAAAATCGGAAAAATACAATGACTGGTGTTAGATCGTGCACTTGCACTTAGCAAATTAACAGTTGTAATGTAATTTGGGTGTTTTAAATACGGTTCCAATCAACATCGGTTTACCTTCAAGTTTAGTACATTCAGAAAATATTGACAAAGTCAGCTAGACAATTACATCCATTAAGTGTTGAGTTTGAAGGTGAAATCCATAAAGTTGCTGATACGTTTAAAACGGGGTCTGCTATATACTGTATATAGTTTAAATCTAACTGTAAAAAATCACTTAGGATAAGATCAATTCCCTTCAAATACATTTTCCTCTTTGTAGAATAAGACATGTCCGAGTGGTGAGTTTTGTGAGATGAAAGTTGCTCCATGTTTAGTGCCTCCTTGTCCAGAGTTTCCTACATGTGTAAACCCATGTGAGGTAATGTAATGTTTTTGTTAACCACTTTAAAGGAATAAGTGATTCCTTCAGGGGTTTTAAAGATACCCATTATGGGTGACCAAACTTAGCTGAAAGCAATGATTTTTCCCTATGGGAAAATACCATGGGAACTATTGATTTCTACTTTATCTAAAAGGAATCACTTATTCCTTTTAAGGGATTAACTGTGTGTCAAAACGCAACATATTGATGCAAGAAAAATCAGGGATGGAAGGGGTTGAAAATCAGAAAAAACATTTCAGAAAAAACAAGTGGGTGGGTTGTTTGCATCTACCCTGTCTCAAAGTCGAAATTATTTTATCATCTCTAGAAGTGATCTTTCCTGGAGGTGATGCATTGGCCTAACATATGCACCTGTTTAAATCCCCAGGAAATGGCCAAAATCCAACATATTACTGTCCAAAATCTGTTGCGCTAATTTCCCTCCTCCTTTTATGGAGTTACTGTAGGACAATTTGACACTGAAAAGCTGGCTATTGATCGAGGGAATCAATAAGGGAAGGAAATCGCACAGGAAAAAAGAAGGTGATTTGTACAGGGGAACTCTGTCAAAATCTCAATTTTTTCAAAAATGTGAGTTGGGACATTATCATTCTGATAGGGCGTTATGAGAAGATAATGAATGCACATGACACTCAGATTGCAAAATCGGAAAGATACAATGACCGGTGTTAGATCGTGCACTTGCACTTAGCAAATTAACAGTTGTAATGTGATTTGGGTGTTTTAAATACGGTTCCAATCAACATCGGTTTACCTTCAAGTTTAGTCCATTCAGAAAAGTTTAAATCTAACTGTAAAAAATTCACTTAGGATAAAAAATGTTGAATATACAGGGTGTCAAATAAGTCTCGTCCCCCCTCTACAGTCAAAACCAAGATATTTGGTACCAAGTGTGATATATCATTGGAAAGGTCTTTCAAAGTTACGTTGATTGGCATATATCTGACACATGTCAATCAATCTCAGAAATTTTTACATTGTATCAATTGAGGTGACCATATGCCTAGAAACATGGCAATTTGGCGTATTTGGCACGATTTTAAGAATCGTGTATAAGAGATGTCACGGGACTAAAGTATGACTAAATATGTTTATGGCGATGAATTTAACCTATTCCTGGATAGGGTTAGATGTGTAGAAAATAGAGGTGCAAGGAAAGTGGTGAAAACCTTTTTGTAACAAGTGGAATGTGAAAAAGATTAACTTTTTGATGTATTTCTGAGGTCATATCCTTGTCTTTTTGACGCAAAAAGCTACTTAAAGGAGGGCACGTTAATTTTAAAAGACATCATAAAAATACAGGTAGATTTCATCCAAAATACTTGAGAGTTGGTGAGTTAACATAACTTTGGATGATCTTTCCAATGGTAAATCACACTAGGTACCTTCTGTTAAGGTTTTAGCTGTAGCAGGGAGGGACGGGACTTATTTGACACCCTGTATTTGATCAATTCCCTTCAAATATTCTACTCAATTTTTTATTTTTTATTACAATCTTAACAGATCACGAACTACATTTTCCTCTTTGTAGAATAAGACATGTCCGAGTGGTGAGTTTTGTGAGATGAAAGTTGCTCCATGTTTAGTGCCTCCTTGTCCAGAGTTTCCTACATGCGTAAACCCATGTGAGGTAATGTAATGTTTTTGTTTAAAGTATGTTATAATAAAACTAAATGGTGGCTACACAAATCTGCGTAATGTATGAATGTATACACATTGATACGTGGTAGTTTGATTACTTATGTAAAGCAATCTAGCTATGCAAATGAAAGGTAATATTAATACTACACGCACTGGTGCAATGTATGAACCATAGGTGCAAATTAATGACGTCATGTTGTTAGAATAACTGGATCTGAAATGTATACGTAGTTTAGAAAGATTAACTTTTATAGGCTAAGCGATGTTCAAAGGACGAAGTATGTGTATTAGAGAAAGTGATTTGTAAAAAACTTCCCTGTAACCCAGTAGCAGTATGTAAAGGTAAGTAGCGATCCACACACAGTCGACTTTATAACCTTGAATCCTACATGGCCATAGAATGGATTTATGATAAATGTTTTTTTGTTTTCATTTAATTTCTTATTCTTCGTTTTTACTTCATTAAAATGTGGCAAGTGAGTCTGCAATGAATCACTTGTAGTTACGCTACACTAGAGTTAAAATAGTTTCTCAAAATTAAATGCATAAAGGTTTGACATGCAATAAACATTTTTCTATTATAAGCTAAAGATACTTGTCCTGAACTACCTTGTGACGTAGACTGTGGAAGATTTGGTCATAAGTTGGATGACAAGATGTGCCCTACGTGTAAATGCAACAAAGACCCTTGCAAGGTACTAGATAAGTATGATTTTTGATTTGACTTGACGCATGTGCACTGTGGAGGAACTCTCAAATTAGTTATGTCATTTCCATAGCAACATAATTGCAATCGAGGATGTAAATTAGAAGTTAATTTCTTCAAAATTGAACAACATGAATTTTTATAATTCTCCGTACTTTTTTACTTTTAATACATTACATAAGTCTGTTGGCTACAAAGCTGATTAGATAATGCTTTCATGAACAGGGGGCAATTTTGACAGTTTGTAAGATACTTTAGAAATTTTGACCATAAACAAAATTCACCAAAACGCACCTCTTCACATTTACCCAACCTTCCAACAAAGGTGCTTGCACTTCGTAAAAATATTTGACATGTAGCTAGCTACTTATGATTGACATTATGAGATGCATATTACAAAATGAAGGGCTTAGATGTATATTTTCATGTATTAAGGGGACAATTTTAAAGTATGATTGTTACATTCTTATTCGTATGCATCTTCATTAAACTAGAATAACTTTTACAAAAGTTTGAAATCATACCTTTTGTTATTCTTATAAAATGTTGCACATAAATACATTGTAGGTGAAGAAATGTAAGCGAGGATTAATATGTGAAACAAACTTTGTAAAATGCAATGAGCCAACTTGCCCTGCTATAGCAACATGCATAGGTATGTTAAAATATGTTATTTTAGAAAGTTATTTTCGAATGTTCATATGCAGGTAGAGAAAATGTCACCAGATCTTTAAAATCAAAACTCCTAATTTATCTTTTCATGCTGTTGAACCAGGGCTGGAAATGATCAGGAGGTGACTACAACAAATTGAATATTTAATAATTCTTTGGAAAGCATGTTCACACCAATAGGTCAATTGTATATATGCTTTCTGGGTGCCATTGAGTCTGAAGGTGGGCAAAGTCTCACCGTATTTCTTGAGGACTAACGAAATGTAACACGAAAAGTTAATGAAAATTGCACTTAGGCCAAGTTGGTTGCCAATTCCTATGTAAATCCTCTCCAAAAGTTAGGATGCCGAAGACCTCCCTTGAAGCACATGTTAAAACCTGCAGTTAGCACTTCATCATTTCATCAAATGTGTCATTAATTGTGGTGTTTCGGTTAGCAAACTCATAGACAGGGATGTACAATTGTGATCATTTATACCTACAGCTAACCCAGAGATGATGAAGTGTAGGCGGTCCGCTATGGCTAAAGGTCGGGATAGAAAGCCAATATTCTGTGGGCGCGGACCTTCAAGACAGGATTGTCCAAGTGGATTTGAATGCAATATATCACCAACAGACAGATTTGCAGTCTGTTGTCCGAAAAGTATGATATTTAATATGTTGTTTCACTTACATTGTGTTCATCTAGAAGAATATTTATTCTGGAAAGTCATATATCTACCTACATTTTTGAAAATCTACATTAATTCTTATTGAATAAGTTGGTTTATGCAAAATGTACATGTGCATGTATTTTCAGTTTATTTTAGGTTAACTTTTTTAATGCATATTGTAAGACAAGGAGAACTGAAAATTCATGATGTTCACCATTTCAGAAAAGGTCTCCTTTTGTTTTGTATCGTAAGACATCAACTGATAGTTGTTCCGTTTCATATCCTACATGTATATGCAACATAAATGTATTTTTAGCGAAAAGCTGCAAGTTCAATGGGCATTCTTATGAACCAGGAGAGACGTTTATGGATAGTTGCAAAAAGTGTAGATGCAGAGAAAACGGACGTGTTATATGTGCCAGAACAAAATGTAGTCGAGTATGCACATATAATGGAAGGAACTATAAGATAGGTTAGTTGCCGTAAGAAATATTAATTGCAATAGATGAAGGTCTATTTTTAAAAACCGAAATCGACCTGTTGAGAAGAGTTGTCCATATATGCACCAGGAACATGTCAGATTTGATACCTATTATTATTAGAAGACTTGAAAACGATGGACGCAACTTTTGAAAAAGAACTTGAAAAATTGACACAAAGTTTCAGGTTTTTGTTAACGATTTTCCTGTATATTCTGTTAATATATTCTATTTCTGTTAGGCCAGTGGGGCATCCCAGCTGGCGACGGATGTAACACATGTGTATGTAATGCAGATGGTCAAGTGGGATGCACAAGGATGGCATGCAAAAAGTAAGTGGATATCCACTTTAAAAATTTTATCTACTCGTATAGAAGATGAAAATGAAAAATGACAAAGTTTCTCTACTCATGGTTCATTCTCTTAAACAGTAGATTGCAGTGGCAGTTGGTTGGGCGTTCAACATCCCACTTTGACGTGCCTACTATATTATGCTTTTGTCCGTATTCAGATGTGAACATTTGGGTCAAATATACAAACCAAACGATGAGTTTAAAGCTGGTGACGGTTGCAACTATTGCCACTGCAGTGCCACAGGAGCTGTTCGATGCACTACAAAGATTTGCTCTACTGGTAACTGTGTCAGTATAACTGGAAATACATTCAGAAATGGACAATCGTACCAGGATGATTGCAATACTTGCTATTGTGTTGAGTCTCGTATCAAATGTACAAGGAAATCCTGCGAGAACACATGTAAATACAATGGGAAGGTGTATAATGATGGACAAAAGTTTAAATCCGATGACAGGTGTAACGAATGTGTTTGTAATAAGGGAATCACCTCATGCACTGAGAAGGCGTGTATTGGGTCGTGTATGTATGAAGGTAAACAATACAGCAACGGAGCAAGTTTTTCCAATGGCTGTACAAACTGCAAATGTGCCAATGGAAAGGTTCGTTGTCCTAGAAAAAAATGCCCAAGTTGCTCCTATAATGGTAAAACGTACAAGCAAGGTGAACAGTTCACTGCAGTTGATGGCTGCAACCACTGCACCTGTTTCAAAGGACAGCGCCGTTGCACAAAGATGAAGTGCCAACAAATGTGTCAATATAATAATCAGATTTACAAAGATGGTGCCAGTTTTCCCTCAACGGATACATGTAACAAGTGTATGTGTAAATCAGGCACCGTCGGTTGTACTAAGAAAGCTTGCTTCTGTGAGTATAATGGGCAGCGATACCGCTATGGAACATGGTTCCCTGCTGGAGATAACTGCAACAGATGTACATGTGACGCCGGTGGTGTCAGCTGTACTGAGAAGGACTGTTCTGGCAGTAGCTCTGAAAGTGTTGTAGGTAAAAACATTTCAATCAATTCTAAAGTAGAGTATAACAAAGTAGGAGTACAATACAATGTAATAATGATATGCAGTTGAGTAAATTGTAGTACAGTGCAGTACATTATAATGCAGTATATTTTGGCACAATACAGTGCGATATATGCAGTAGAATACATTGTAGTACAGTGCAGTACATTACTGCACTGTACATTACAATTACAGTATAGTATACATTACATTCAGTATATTTTGGTACAATACAGTGCGATATATACAGTAGAGTATATTGTAGTACATTGCAGTACATTACAATTCAGTTTATTTTGGTACAATACAGTGCGATATATGCAGTAGAATACATTGTAGTACAGTGCAGTACATTACTGCACTGTACATTACAATTACAGTATAGTATACATTACATTCAGTATATTTTGGTACAATACAGTGCGATATATACAGTAGAGTATATTGTAGTACATTGCAGTACATTACAATTCAGTTTATTTTGGTACAATACAGTGCGATATATGCAGTAGAATACATTGTAGTACAGTGCAGTACATTACTGCACTGTACATTACAATTACAGTATAGTATACATTACATTCAGTATATTTTGGTACAATACAGTGCGATATATACAGTAGAGTACATTGTAGTACATTGCAGTACATTACAATTCAGTATATTTTGGTACAATACAGTGCGATATAGTACATTGTTGTCCAGTATAATCACAATACAGTACATATATAGTACAATACAGTAGTTTAGTATTGTGCAATACAGTAAGCCACAATTTCGGCCACATAATTTAAATACTTTAAAATATTATTTCTAAGATATCACATATTTATACTGATTTGACATTAAATCATTTGATATTTCAGATTGTAGCTTGGTCGACTGTCGCCCACCAAAGTGCAGAAATGGCCAGGCCTTTTTTACACCTCCTGGTGAATGTTGTCAGCAATGTGGACAGGGTAACGAACACTAAATGAAATACAGTACTAACTTTATCCATTATTTTTGATTTGATAATATATATGAAGGAGATGGAAATGTTTTTGTGTTTAACTACTTTATATGTTATTTTTGGGTTGTCGAGTTGGCCGAGAGGGCTTGAGCGCCGGTACGTTCGAGCTAGGCGATTTGGCACCGTAACCACGAGGTTGCGAGTTCGAGATGCGTGTGCTCCTTGTGTTTATTCATTTATAAATAGTCAGGATAGATACTATCGATATTCATGGTCTTTATTTAGATTGTCGACTGGTTCGTTGTGCAAATGTACAAAAGTGTGACGATGGATCCACGCCTGTTAAACCCCAAGGAAAGTGTTGCCTTCAATGTCCTACTAAACCTCCATTGTGTAAGTTTGTTTATATACATTTATCATTCAAAAAATGGTTTGTTATTTATTTGAAAGTCAAGAAAATGCAAATGTCAGTCCCAGTTTCAAAAAATGCAGGAACCACAACACAACATTGTACGTATACAGTATATTGTATATCCAAGGCAATATATGGGAAAATCCACTTCTTTATTCCTTCATAACAATGAGATTTGTTCTAGCATGCTACTATAAAGGAAAGCGTTATCCCCCTGGACATTTTAAGACTGACGATCCATGCAAATCCTGCTCGTGTCAAGTACAGAAAGATGGATCCACTAAAGTAGAATGCGCCATGAAGGCGTGCAGCATGCCACTATGTAAAGGCAACGCCCGACCTGTAAGGAAGGATGGCCAATGTTGCCCTAGTTGTCCCGAGGAGCCAGGTTAGTATAAAGTTCCTTGATGTTTCTATTTTCACATAGGTGATGATACTATTCACTATTATAATTGTTTTTTCATTTTCCAGACTGTTCAGCCTTAAGTTTGAAAATATTAGACCCAGTTTCAGTGCAAGTGCCACGCAATTCAACGCTAAATCGTGTATAGAGTATGTAGGAAAAATTCTCTTCTTCATTGCTTTAACAATGAGCTTAAATTTGTTCAAGCATGCTACTACAAAGGAAAGAGTTATCCCCCTGGTGATTTTAAGACTGGTGATCCATGCAAATCATGCACCTGTAATATACAGAGAGATGGCTCTACTAAAGTAGAATGCGCCGTCATGGCGTGCAGCATGCCACTGTGTAAAGGCAACGCCCAACCTGTAATCAAGGATGGCCAATGTTGCCCTAGTTGTCCCGAAGAGCCAGGTTAGTATAAAGCTCTAGTTTGTTGATGTTTCTAATCTAACATAGGTAATGACACTATTTTCCTATTCATTTTTTGCAATTTCTAGATTGTTCAGCTAGAATCTGTTTGAGACCTGTCTGTCCCGAGGGAGTTTCTTTGTTTACACCGAAGGGTGAATGTTGTCCACAGTGTGGAGAAGGTATGTTGCTGTACTGTGGTAAATAGCTATTTTACCTTGCGTGCAGAGTCTAGTTAAACTACAGACTGAAGACGAAGCTCTCTTTTAAGAAGTGAAGTCAAACGAATGCAAAGGGTATATTTCATTCTACTGTATAACTTTAAAGGTTTCAAGGTTTAGAGAAAAACATTTCCGTTCTATGAATGTATGCATCAAGAAACCTTGATTATGTAACCCTATTGATTACCATGGGACTCTCAAAATGAACGGCTTCGTTTAGTTGTGAAGGTGCCAAAATGAATGTTTGACAGTTTTCCGGAAAAGTCAGAATACAATATATGAATAAGAGATTTAGATCTAGATATGCAAAACATCCTTAAAGGGATATTCCTTGCCCAATTATTTCTTGATATGGTAGCTATAACCATTTTTATACTATTCGTTTTAGCAAAAAATGGGAAAATGTTTTGATATTGTTAAAATTGATCATTTAAAATGTAGTGCTAATTTCATCTTGGCTGCAATCTTTTTAGTTTTCACACAGGAAGTGATGTAATCAACTCTTATGTTTACATAATACATAAGACAAGAAGGTACAGAGAATGTATTCTTATATCCCATACTTGGACGTGTTACAGGGTACATAAAGCCGGTTTGTAAGAACTTATATTTTCATCAGCGGGCAGATATAGCTTTACGTCCCGCTCCGAGCGGGCAGATATAGTATATCTGCCCTCTACGTCATAATCGCCGTTCGCATATTGGTTCATTTTTGTATCGTTTGCAGACAATCGCGATCTTTTTGATGCTTTGAGGAAGGGAAGGAGCAATATGCCCTGTTAATAATCAAAAATTTAAAGAACAGGAAAATCAGGCCACGTCCAAGAGAACATGAATATTCTAAAATAATTCCACGAAGTTGCAAAGTTTCTAAACTGTGGCCAATTGAACAATGTGAACCAAATGACCAAGATTGGTATGGGATAAACAGATCATCCTATAGTCGGTTCAGGATATTGGGATTATCCCAATTACTTATTTTCAGTTGACAAGCCCTGAAAATATTTTTTGACAGAAAGGAAGGACCAACTGTCAATTTTGACCATTTCTAAATATTATCCCATTTTCTGCTAAATATGGAGAGTAGAATAATGGTAATAGCTATCATAACAAAAGATCCTTGCAAGGAATATTCATTTAGAATTGGTTATAACTGTTATTGGATACAAGTAGGTTAACAAGTTACAAGTAGGGTCAGGCCCGGAGACTATTCCAGATTCCATCAAGACTGAGCCCTGATTATAACGCATGTTTATAGCATATGGGACTTTGGAAATGAACTTCGTTTAGTTGTGACGATGCCACGTTAAGCAAATACTAAAATTAGTGATACTTTCATTGATATTTGATATTTTGACACGCTGTGTTGAATTTGACAATACTTGATTTGCGACTGATCTCTAATATATTTTGCAGACTTGATGGTGATACCCTATTGTCATTCAGCAAAATGACCTATAAAAACGGCTTAAAATAGGGCCACTTTTGGAACACCCCATGCATATACATGCTCAATTGCTCATGTACTAGTTTGATTTTCAAAACTTCATACTTTAGTTATCCAAGATGATACATATCATTTTTATACTTACTTATGACAATGGGTTAATAAAACGCATTTAAACTTCATTCCCTAACAGATTGTAGGCTGGTACGTTGTGCTCAAGTCTTAGATTGCGAAGGTGGCGCAAAGTCTTATATACCTCCTGGGAAATGTTGCGCCCAGTGCCCGCCTCCACCACGAGGTATCAGCATTTTTATTTTCCCGTTTTCTATTTCAAATACAATTCACTGAAAATCGTTATATCATTGCCACATAATAAGTCACATTAAATGTTATGCTATATATCAGACCAAAGTATTAGGTTTTAAAAAATAATATTTCATATTTTGAGGCTGTGAAGTCGACGGCACTGTGTACAAAATTGGAGAAGAAATCAAACAGGATTCACCATGTATGCACTGCACATGTGAAATAAATGATGGTGAGGGCTTCAAGCTGTGTGCGATTATGGACTGTGCTCCACCCCCCTGTGAGAATCCATTCCCCATTGAGGGAAGGTGTTGTCCCATGTGTAATCCTCGGGAACAAGGAGGTTAGGACTGTTCAACAAAATCTATATAAAAGGGATATGGTTCTAACCCCCCTATCACACCAAACTATTTCTTACCCGTTCTTGCCAGTCCTACGAAACGTCGTAAAACGGGCTCAATCTGGCTGTGGTCGGGAAATATGTCTAAAATGATTAGCTACTTCGTTCATAAACAGTCTTCAATACGTCCATCTCATTCGCAGTTCGTTCAGGTCGCACCACGTCAGTGTGCAACGTCGTATAACGCGTCCCTTAGTCTAGAAGGTCACCATGACCTGATTACAGAACGGTATGGTCGCCATCGAATTTTGAATCGATTCAAAATTCTAAATCACATTCCCCGTCCGGGAAAGTCCATGAAGTTCGTAAACAGACCGTAGAACGTTGTAGTTACGTTCATTCAGTGGACTTTACTTCTTAAAAGAGACTTCCGTAGTTTAACTAGACTCTGCACGCAGGGTATTTAAACCGATTCGGCAACGTTTTGACGATCACCAAAAAATTTTGAGCATGCTCTAAGTTCTGGAGGACCTACTCGTTCTAGTAGTTTCATGAAGTTTGTAAACAGATCCCAAACGGTTCTTAGTGGGTTATTAGTACGTCAAATCCGTTCGTGCACAGTTTAAGCCCGTTTTCGAGAGCGTAGTGAGAACTAGTTTGGTGTGATAGTAGGGTAAATAAACAATTGTAAACCCCATTTGGAAAGTTTCGTAGATATCACTTCGACTTGATTTTGAATAATATATCATAAAAACAAGATTATTGCTTCTTGCATCTAGTCTATAAGATGATTTAAAAATTCTACAGTTTGTAAGTTCGATGGTAAATATTTTGCGAATGGCTCCTCGTTTCCTTCTACTGATGGATGTAATACATGCAAGTGCGAGGACAATGAGGTTATCTGTACACTCATAGAGTGCGGTAAGTCTGCTTTAATATTGCTATACAATTACCAATATTATAGATACACTGTTTGCTTATCTGAAGTTTTGCGGATGTTTAATTTGTATATTGTTTGACTGTGAGAAAATGTTATAATAACAATTCAAAAAATTATTATATGACTGCACAAAAGGCTAAACAATAATAAGTTTTATTTGATTAAATATTCTCAAGGTTGTGAGAAAGATGGTCAATCGTACCAAGTTGGTGATAAAATACCCTCAAGCGACCCTTGCGAACATTGTTCGTGTACACTCCAAGATGGAAAACCCAAAGAAATGTGTGCCATTCAAGACTGTGCACGCCCACAATGTGATGATTACATCCGTCTTGAAGGAAGATGCTGCCCCGTGTGTGACAAACAAGGAGGTACAACTGAATCCATCATGAGTATATCAAAAAGACCACCAATTGAACTTTTAATACTTCCATCATTTCTAACTTAGTTTTCAGTTTTTCAGTGTTTTTACTTTTATATTTCAGTCTGTGAGTACAACAACAAATACTACGCTGATGGTGCGACATTCCCATCTACTGATGGATGCAATCGTTGTACCTGTGGAGACGGCAGCGTCAGTTGCACCGAGCGAGCATGTGGTAAGTAATGGCCAGTGATGATGGAAAGCTCTTGCGGTTCAAATGCATAATTATATTATTCACACATAACGAGGTAAGATCTGTCCGATTTTATCCAGTCCGAACACAGGATTTCATATAACTGCAGTGCTTTATATAACCAATTACCGCACTCGAGGTCGTTCATTGAATGGTTGTCAAGGTGACAATTAGACTCTTCAGGTCATGCTCATACATTTTTCAGTTCAGTGCATCACACGATGCATTAAAAACCATTTATAGTAAATCAGTCCTAAACGGGAAAAGGCCCGGGGCAAATTGGGAGAATACAGGTAATTGTTTTTTATAATAATACAGGCTGCATATGGAAGGGAGATGGTCAGTTTTATGCAGTTGGGTCTACGATCGACGACGGGAATCCCTGTAGCAAATGTATGTGTGAAAAACAAGAGACTGGAGGATTTGGAATAACGTGTGCCATAATGGCTTGTGACATGCCAGAATGCCCCGGTGGGATAGAACCAGTGCCTGTAGATGGAGCTTGTTGTCCACAATGTCCCAAAGGTAAGCAGTAACGATATCAATCGAAAATAGAATCCGATGACCTTACTGACGTTATCAGAGAGTGTCATTGCGTATCTAAATCGAATGCGTTTATTTACAAACTTGTACCACGTGATCAAAGAATCCGGAACAGTTTATCTTAAGTCCCCTTATAGTTTGAAAATATGTTTTTATTATTCATTCACTTTTTAAAATGACTTAACAAGTTAATTTGAATTCTACTAAACAGTGCAAAACACATTATCTCGTTCACGCCAATGCAAAGATTGAACAAAAGACACATTATTTCAATAAATAAAACGTCATGTCTACAGGATGGGCCAAGGAATGTTCACATTTTTATTTCGATATATCTTTTTTGAAAATGCATGGATTTCAATAGGATTTGGGTACGAAATGCAATTTTAGATAAATAAATCTCTAATCTAGGGGATTTTGAATAGTAAAGGTAAACAGATACGAGGGGTCTATTTGGGAAATTACAGATTTCGGAATGTTATTTGATATAAGTCATGCCTCAAATTAAGTACCAGATTGAAATATTATTCAGACTGTCAGAGAAAGACATAAGGTCTGCTGGTCAGTATATTCTGAAATAATTTCCAGACAAAAATTGAATTTTAAAAACATCACACGATAAATAAGTAAGATGAGGAAAACCTGATTCAGCATCAAGGGACTGTGCAAAGCTATTCTGAGATCTTAAATTAATTACTTGTGGCAAAAAAGATCAGTTTGGTGATTGATTGAGCCCACACATAAAGAACCTTCCTTGTCCTTAAGACCCAGATAAATACTAAATAAAAATTAAAAGCCAATAAGAGAACGTAGTCTTATTTTCTTTATTTTTAATTTTATTTTAAACATTTTTATTGTATTTTTTGATTTTTAAAAATTTTATTGTTGGATGTACGTTTAGCCCTATTAGGGCATCAGTACAAATACATCCTATTACACAGATACACTCCCAAAATATGCTTTAATTACTATCAGATAGAAATATAAATTACATTAATTAGTGTATACACCATACATTACATGTTTGTTTGCAATTGGCTTTGTTTAAAATGTCAATTTGGAAAGTTATTTGAGGCATGAGTATTATCATTGTAAAATTGTCACTTTAAATTTCGTCCTGAAATCTGTAATTTTTCATATATAACCCTAGTGTGACTGCCTGTTTACCTTCATAATTTTAAAACCCCTGAAGATTTATTAATCCTACTTTTGGAACATTTGTAAAGTATATTTCTGCATATCATGCAAGAATTCTATAGAAAAGTAATATCGAAATAAAAAATGTGGACATCTTTTGGCTTATCCTGTAATGTGCCACTTCAATGTTTTAGCATATCAAAAATAGTTTGCAACCTAAGTGACACCATCGTGACATCACTCGGATGGCGAAAAATTACACCATGCATTGATGATTTCATTTTCGCTTATTTATGAACCAATTCTCTTATCTTCTTAATTTTTTCGGCAGAAAACAGCGAGGATGTATGCTATACTTTAGTGTGAATTATCATATTAAAAGATACGTATGATCTCTTAAAGTTAGTTTAGCCCATTTTGCTAGTTAGTTTTTGGCACAGGAACGTATTTTTCCTGAATGTGGAAATTTCCACTTATGACGATCTCAACAGCGTAAATGTGTCAGCATTTCCTTAATAATTAGATTAAATTGAATTACTTTTTTTGCTTTTAAGGATGTTTATACCAAAAAGCAGATGTCTCTAAGTTCTACGCACTTGGTGCAAGTGTAGATGATGGTGACCCCTGTACGGACTGTACCTGTCTAAAATCTGATAGCGGTAGCATGACAGTTGTCTGCAATGAGTTGTTTTGTGATGTCCCCGAATGTCCAGGTGGAGAAACGGTTATTCCAGTCGATGGGGAATGTTGTCCCGGTTGCCCGCCATAGTCATATTGACTTTGAATAATGTAGCAATACATAAAATCTACAGTGCATCTGGGAGAAATCGTTTTATATGATAGTATACAAAAATAACGAAATAAAATAATACCAAACATAAGTTATTTTGTAACTTTTGATACTTTAAGCAATAAATGCAACGTGTGCTTGTTGTAATAAAAATGTTGTCGAAGACGAGATGCACTTTGACTTTTCTACTTTTTTTTGAACAGCATTCTTTGAAAAGGCGATTTTGATTCATTACATTTGCTAAATACTATACTTTGTTATATTAACTAATGTACCACTTTTTGACAACTATCACTTTCAAAAACCACTTGACTCACTATGATTTATGAAAAGAAAGCAGTTTCTATAACTTATTCTATCTAGATCAATAGATTTTAAAGTCCCCCCCCATAAGCTGGTGCCTGCTGAGCTGTGTTTATTTGATTATTGATAGTATTTCCTAAGAGGAAAATTGGATTGCTCCTGGATCCAGGGACTTAAAACTGTTATGCCTGGGTCACATTTGCTCCGATTCATCGGCCGGCGCCCGGCCGATTGAGTATTTTGTTCAAAATTGTATTCAGTTTTGAATATAATACTCAATCGGCCGGGCGCCGTAGTGAAAATCGGAACAAATGTGACCAAGGCATTATATAGCATTTGTATATTATTGATCGTCACACATCTATAAAAGGGAGATTTTTATTTTGACAAATCAATATCACATTAAGGTAACTTATAACTTAATCAAAAAATCCAAGATGGCCGAAACCAGGAAGCACATGGCATTTGAGTATAATCTGACCATCAAAATTAACTGTCTTTTGGTTGGATTTTCTCTCAATTTTTTAGTTCCACTTATCATTTATATAACCAGGCTCACTGTGGTAATGCAAATAGAAACAGTAAACATTTTGGAATGGGAATTGGAGTCCTCTGAAAATGTGACAGAAAAATTGACAAAAAGAGTAGCACGGCAAAGGTCCCTGAACATTTTTTTTCTAATTTCTCTGAAACATCCCTTTAATATAGCCCAAAATGGAAGGAGCTTTAGAATTTTGAAATCTCTCATACAAATTAAAAAAATAGAAAAAAAACAATTTGAGAAGTGTACTTTTTTCCTTATTTTGATCCCAATTTTTTATCGGGTAATTTTTCAAATTTCCGTTGCTCCTTCGTTTTTGATATATGTTTGAAGTATATTTTCTGAAATGTTCAGATATTTTGAATCAGCGGTTTTTCACGGGCTACTCCTAGAAAAAATCTTCTCAAATTCTTTAAACGGCACTTTTTTTCTCAAACTAAAGTTTTTTGTTGTTCTTTGATGTCATTGTAATGATTACAGTGCACAAGCATATGTGAAATAATAGAAACGACTTCTCAGGAAGAGTTTGAAAATTTCAAGATTGTGAACAGTCACCTTAATGGGTCAATTTTCGGGATCTTGTATTTCGTGTATAACAAGGAAAACACCTAAATTTCCCCATGACGTATTAGTACACAACTTGGCCTATAAAATATCCTCCAAATGAAACAAAGCAGTTCTAATAGAGATTTTACATTTTGGCATGCCATCTCCTGAACTAAGTCATGTGATCATTTATATCCAATCAGAATGCATTTCTGCCACATAGTGATAGCATAGTGATCCAAAGCTAAACCAAGGTGTAGGAAGGGTTTATATTATCATATAGAAGGGGTGCGCTTTTCTAATTGGCCATGGTTGACATGCATGTTTGCAAACTTAGTACTTGCATCAATTTAAAAGCTCTGACTGGCATCCTAACAAAATAAATTCATACTACACTGATGCCTGGGTCACACTTGCTCCGTTTGTTCAGTATTGTATTTAATTTTGAACAAAATACTCAATCGGCATGGCGCCGTAGTGAAAATCGGAGCAATCTGCATTACTTGTACACAGTGTATACCAGCAGCCCATTTTCAGCATAGCAATTTCTAAGAAGGGTTTCCAAAATGCTCCATCATGGAATACCTTGACCCTCTCTTCTTACATGATAGATCGACACAGACATGTTTCTAGATGCGATGTGTACCAGAATGAAAGCTCTGGCTTTTTCCTAACTTGGCGGGAGGGTGCAAAGTACTTGCTTGATCATTAAAAATAAATGCCATTGTCACAGGAACTCTGCATTTTATGTAAATCCATTGAATATTTATCTGCATGCTCGAAGTTAAGTAAGTTAAGGTGACTGTTAACTTAATCGATTTTCAGAAAAAATTGAAAATTTCACAATCTTGAAATTTTCAAACTCTTCCTGAGAAGTCGTTTCTATTATTTCACATATGCTTGTGCACTGTAATCATTACAATGACATCAAAGAACAACAAAAAACTTTAGTTTGAGAAAAAAAGTGCCGTTTAAAGAATTTGAGAAGATTTTTTTTCTAGGAGTAGCCCGTGAAAAACCGCTGATTCAAAATATCTGAACATTTCAGAAAATATACTTCAAACATATATCAAAAACGAAGGAGCAATGGAAATTTGAAAAATTACCAGATAAAAAAATTGGGATCAAAATAAGGAAAAAAGTACACTTCTCAAATTGTTTTTTTCTATTTTTTTAATTTGTATGAGAGATTTCAAAATTCTAAAGCTCCTTCCATTTTGGGCTATATTAAAGGGATGTTTCAGAGAAATTAGAAAAAAATGTTCAGGGACCTTTGCCGTGCTACTCTTTTTGTCAATTTTTTTGTCACATTTTCAGAGGACTCAAATTCCAATTCCAAAATGTTTACTGTTTCTATTTTTCTATTTGCATTACCACAGTGAGCCTGGTTATATAAATGATAAGTGGAACTAAAAAATTTAGAGAAAATCCAACCAAAAGACAGTTAATATTGGATTTTTGATTAAGTTATAAGTTACCTTAAGAAGATCAGATTCTTTATAACACTTGATCCAAATCTATTTGATATTCAAAATCTAAGTAAACCTCTCTTTTTGAAGAACCAACTATCTATCATATTACTCAGATTGGATTTATCAATATTCTCATACTCTCTCTAGTTTGTATGAATGAATGACCCTAAACATCATGTGAAAGACTTCTCAGAAAATGTGCCCAATATATTACTCTAAATCATACATGTCATAGGGGCTTTGAAATTTTGAAAAGTTGTCTGAAACAGATATTGTGATCATAATAAGGGAATAGATTGCTTTCTAAAGCAGTTTCCTCATTTTTTCTATTTTTAGGAATGAATTCAAATTTTCAAAATTTTCTATAAATTCAAATAATATATTTGGCACACTTTCTCAAAAATGCAATAGATTCTGTCTGGTGACCTTTCTAAAAGTCCAACTTTTAACTGTTTTTGAGTCACATTTTCTGAGTCACACTCCTCTGTATATACTTTCTCCAGTATGTATGAATCGAAACTAGGTTAATTTCCCGTGTGCCTAAACCAATAATTTATTGTTTTATCTACTTTCTGTGTATGTGTGTATGGACTACTATTTATATTTTTCCAGTGTATATATGAAACAATAAATTTGAACTGTGTGTATTGACAAATATCATGTACTTTCTCCAGTGTGTATGAGCAAATATTATGTACTTTCACTAGTTATTTAACCAATACTCTGTACGAGTGGAGAAAGTACATAGTATTTGTTCATACAAAATGTGTGTTCATAAAAAATGGAGTACATGATATTTGTTCATACATACTGGAGAAAGTATATACACAGGCGTGTTGGTTCATATACATGTCCATACTGGAGAAAGAGCGTAATGTCTCTTCATACACATTATAGATATTGTAGTTCATTAAATTCGTTCATACTCACTGGTTTAGGTACATTTTATTCGTTCTGACACATTGATTGATTAACAAAATATTGAAAACACGGAAGAGAATGAACAACGTTTTGGTTCATGCACAATGGAGAAAGTACAAATCATTTGCTTATGCATGTTGTAGAATGGACACAAAATATTTGTTCATATACATGCAGGAGAAAGTACAAAAAATGTGTTCATTGAAAGTGGAGAACCCAGATTATATACTTTCTCCAGTTTGTATGAACAAATTCATCAATGTGTTTCATGCAACACATTTTAATTTGTAATTTAAGATGCTATGTAAGTTAACAGAAATGATAAAACAAAAAATGTCAAAACCATGATGGATTCTGAAATTTTTTTGAACCAAGATAACAGAGTTTTGTTGGGACCTCCAGTCAGTTTAACTAGTTCAACATATTTACATGACCGGGAACACAAGGAAAATGGTCAGAATGACCATAAACATGGTGAAATAACCTTTTCAGTCCTCTGAAAATGTGACTGAAAAATAGCTAAAACTAGGTGCTCAGGAAAGGTCAATGAACAGAATCTCTTGATTTTTTTCAGAAAAGGTGTCTAATATATTGCTCTAAATGATACAATCTTTGACACTTTAAAAAATTGTCTGAAACAATAATTGCTGTAGTTAAATATATATTGGGCACATTTTCTGAAAAAGTCAAAAGATTCTCTTCAGTGACCTTTCCTGAGCACCTACTCTTAGCTATTTTTCAGTCATATTTTCAAAGGGCTGAAAAGGTTATTTCATCATGTTTATGGTCATTCTGACCATTTTCCTTGTGTTCCCAGTCATGTAAATGATATGTGGAACTAATTAAACTGACTGGAGGTCCAAACAGAACTCTGTTATCTTGATTCGAAAAAAATTCAAAATCCAGCATGGTTTTGACATTTTTTGTTTTGTCATTTCCTGTTAACTTATAGCACCTTAATCTGTATTTCCAAGTAAGATTTTTTAGAATTGTGCCTGTTTGTGAAATTTAGTCAATAAACTAACCAGAAATGTCTGCAATAATAGAAAAATCAATAGTCCACCCGTGTAGCTCAGCGGTAGCGCAGGTACCTCTTACGCAATAGGTCCCGGATTCGATCCCCGGTTCAGGCAAGACTTAATTTGCTTGTTTGCGTGAAGTACTTCAGGGTGTTTGACTGAGTGGTCCGCAACTCGTACGAAAGGCCGTGGTGTGTACTTGTATGTCTATGTATAAGTGCACATAAAAGAACACAGGGCTCCTTCAAGGAGGGGTTTCTGGGTCTATCTTTCAAGTTAATTACGTAAA